TATCTTATCTTATCTTATCTTATCTTATCTTATCTTATCTTATCTCTGCTTGGTTGAAGTTCAGTTATATTTTCTTTGATGAAATCACTCCAAGTAAAAACAGTGTTTTTCTAAATATCATGTAAATAAAATAATAGTACCCCCTCCACTACACTAGCCTGTCCAATCAGTGTTTCTCATTTCAGTTATGAAAGTTGGTAACTCTACAGAATGTCATTACTATTAAACGTTGGTATAAAAAGCAGCAGATGAATCCAGAGTTTTGTTTTAATGGTTTATTTTCTCTCTTAAAGGCCTATTTAGAATCTTTCCACTCTTTCTGTAAGAATCTGGGCGGTGCTACAAAGAACACAATGTGTCCCATTCTGCAGGTACATTTTACTCTCTCTTGAAGTTTTTCAAGCTGTTGAAGAWTTGTTTTGTTGTGAACACTTTGTGTGCTGCTGCAGTTTGAGGCAGACAGGCGGGCCTTCATCATCACAGTGAACTCATTCCAGACAGATCTGGGTGGTGCAGAGAGGAGCGCCCTGTATCCATCCTGTGGGAAACTGTTCCCTGAGGGACTGCGCCTCCTTGCCAAAGCAGAGGACGTGGATCAGGTGAWGGCTGTGGCCGACTCTTATCCTGTGAGTTTGGTCTTGTTTATGAATACTGTCACCAGAACTGCTGCTGTGTTATTGTAGTGTTACTTCTTTCTGAAACCTCTCTGCAGGACTATCAGCTCATCTTTGATCAGCCAGAACCAGGATCAGATTTTAAGACTCTTGAAGACAGATTCTTTGAGCAAGAGGTAAGCTACTGTTGATTTGTGTTTGTATGCATGTAATTCAAGCATTTCAAATGCTGCYATGTTTGGGATATTTGTTCTGTTGGACTCAGTTTGGTCTGAGCGCCAGCTGTCAGACAGATGGACTCACATTTAACTCTAGAATGCTACAAAGTTCATGGTCAATGAGTGCTTGAACCACCAGCCCTCCACCACGGTTCTGACAGCTGGGATGAGCTGTTGGTGCTGATATGTGACCCATCACATCAAACCAAGGATTACATCCGATTAGGTCAAAATGAACGAAGCACATTTTCAGATTCCTGCTTTTTAAGAAGCTACTGTACATTTTGACACCTGGTCATCCTGACATCCAGAGATACAGTATTTGCCTTGATTTGACTTTCTAATTGAAAT